ACTTAGGTTGTGGGTTTGATTTCCAGTCAGGGCATACACCTAGGTTGTGGGTTCAACCTTGAGTCAGGGTGACTACAGGAGGCAACAGATTGATGTTTTTCTCTCATATCAATATTTTCCTCTCTTTCTCCTTCTCTTCCTTTCTCTCTAAAATCAATTTTTAAAAAAGCTGGAGTTAACCAAGTGTTTAGGGAAATGCAAAGATATGCTAACAGAGTGGGCATAGAACACGAAAGGAAGTGGAAAGGGTATGAGAGAATGTTGAATTGGACTAGGCTGGTTATGCAGAGACAGAGACAAGTAGATAGATAAGGTAAGCGTTCGGAGTGGATGGCTTGCTGATTAATTGAATGGGAATTTGAATGCACTTCCAGAAATTCTACCAATTTGAAATTCATTGGGTTTGTAAGCTTCTTTTATAAAAATGCAAATACATCTAAGAGGCTTATGACCCTGGTAAGAGTGTAATTTAGTCTGCATTAGTTCCATCAGCTTACTTTTTACTATCACCTAGCTGAAGTCAGTTATACTAAAGACATGAGAGTTTTGCTTGGGGAAAAAATGTTTTGCATAAAGGACATAATCATGTATGAAACAGGAAGTGGAAGTCTTTGGAAAGACAGAGGACTGAAAGGGTGCACAGGAGACACAAAGAGGAGGGCCGCATCTGAGAGCCCAGCGAAGGAGCAAACTGGCCTTCTCTGAAAGTTTGCCTGATTGCCTGGGACAGATAAGTTCCTAATCTTCAGGACTGGGAATGTCTCATTTCTTACACTCTTGTGTTAAGAAAAACATTCTACCAATTTATAGTAGAGGGGAGGAAAAATGAAAGCACTAAAAATTCTCAACTGGTACTAAGCATTGACAATTTCCATGTTGCTTTGTTTAAATTCAAGGTAAGCTATTGGATTCTCTGACAATATTTTACTGATATCATATGATAAGTAGGAATTTTCAAACCTAAAATTTTAAAAACAATCGTAAGTGCCATGTGAAATAAATATCATTGGTCAATGTTTAAAAATTATTTCAATTATATTATTTTAAAGATAGGTTTTATATTTGGTAGTAAATATCCATATTTTTTTTAAAGTCCAGTCTTGTTAGATACAACAAAAGGTATTCAATTTTATTTATTCTTTTATTTTTTCTTATATACTTACATGTTACTAAAAAATAATGACACGCATCCTAAAATGTTCCAAATGCTACCTTTTGTTTATAATTTTGGGTACATTTCAAACTTCATGTGTAAGCCACTGCTCATAGCTAAGAAAATACTACTGGAAAAAATGAGTAATAGCCAAAAATTTGGCTCACTCCTAACCCTGACTTCTTGGATGATGATCCTGCATTAAAAAAGAACAAAAACAACAACTCACAACCCAAATAAAACAATTCTGATTTTTTTTATGCTCATGTTTTTGATAAAAAGGAAAAGAAATCATTTTTATTTAAAAAAACAAAACAATAAAAAGCAACAAAAAACATTAGCAACAAGTTTGGGCCAACTAAAAATTATAAAACTTTTTTTATTAAGCAAAGCATTAAATGGCAAGATAAAAATAAATCTGGTTGTGAGCCAGTAGAAATTCCATGGATTTGTGCCTTTCAATGTGAATCACAAGTCTAATGGCAGGTACACTCTGTTTTGCTTTGGAATGGAACAGACTGTTAGTCTCACATGCTGTCTACATCTGGCTCAAACTCTGTCCTGCCACATTTGCAGGGTCCCAACTATGTTTACCGGTACGATCGTCCATCCTTTCTTAGCATTCTTGTTTCTATCTACTATTGAAGATAAAATCTGGGACAACATGTCTGCGTGGGGAAAAGGCACAGTGGAAGCATGGAATCTCAGCACTACTGATCATTGCCAAACATCGTATTTTTACAGATAAGAAAAATGAAGCACAACTAGGTTTTAATTGCTCACAATTATACATTATTAAGCTTCAGAGCTGGAATTTACCAGGTAATCTCTGAAGCTGTTGAGAGACACTTTTCCAATTTATCTTTCACATTTCCATACATTTTGTAAACAGAGACACTGATGATCTTTGTTCTGAACTACCTTTTCAAAGATATTTATATAGCAGAGAGCTTTGAAATATAGAGATGGCATCTCACTCTAGAGCACAGAGAAAGTTTTGTCCAATCTAACAAAAATAATGTCTCATTCTGGGGCAAAGGGCAGGCATGTTCACTGCCCATTACAAAATACTCAAAGTCCCTGAGCTGGGAGCTCCTTTCTTGAACCACAAACCACTAAGTATACAGGTGCCACCTACCCCCTGCCTTGTGGGAACTGGGATTCAGTGAACTGGTGCAAATGCTGACAGTCTGACTACTGCTATTGCTGTAAATAATAGAGTCATTTTTCTCTGACACAGGAGTCTCACGTCTCCTGACAGCACACACGAAGCTGTGGCAGGCTGACTTATGTGAGCTTGGAAGCAGGAAGAACTCTCAGACCCTTCACACTTTCTGACAGAAACATGAAACTTTAGTGATAATCACTCATATAAAAAGAAAAAAAAATACCGCCCGGCTGGTGTGGCTCAGTGGTTGAGCGCAGACCATGCAGAAAGAGGTCCCCAGTTCGATTACTGGTCAGGGCACATGCCCGGGTTGTGAGCCTGCAGGGCATGCCGGAAGCGGCCAATTGATGTTCTCTCTCATCGATCTCTCTCTCTCTCTCTCTCTCTCTCTCTCTCCCTCTCTTTTCTTCTCTCTCTAGAATAAAAAAAAAAATGTATAAAAAAAGAAAGAAAAAAAAATACTAAGCACCGAGAGGCTTGTTGATGGATTTTTCACATCTAGGGTGATCTAGTCACCATTTTTTTCAACATTATGTTAGGTATAATATACAATATTTTTATTTATATGTTTTGGTATGTGCCTCTAGTGGGAACCGAACCTGGGACTCTCTGGTCCGCAGGCTGACACTCCAACCTCTGAGCCAAACTGGCCAGGGCTATTTTTAATTCTTCAAATCAAATTACACACACATATATATTATGTAATTTATTTTTTAAATTTAATTTATGAAATGGTCTCATTATCCTCATTTTATAGATAAAAACAAACAAAACAAAACCAACAGCACCCTGAAGTACGTCACATAGTTAATAGGTGGCAGAGCTAAAATTTCTGGTTTTAAAATTTGTGTTTTGCCTACCTCCAAATAAAACACAGATTAAAATGGCATGGGTCGTTTTGGTTTTAAATAAAATGACTAAATTATGTATATTATGCTTAGTTTTACTATCATACCTTTTTAATTGTACTACTGTACATGTTTAGGGACTGACATGTTACTATCTAATATGTATTCAATATTAAATATTCAGTATTCACAACAGATAAAATGTTTTTTATCTTATCAATATTGAGCTTATATTATATACTAGATAGTCACAAAAAAGTCGACCACAAAAGTTATTATTTATAAAGTTTAAATCATGAAACAATGCTGTAGATATATTATTTTAAAGCTACACAACTAAGAAAACATGACAGGAGAAATAATTCCATTTAAAAAGCTATATATTCCATAAAACTATCTTTTTAGTCATGGAGATAAGTAGAAAACACTCTATACAAAGTGGAGAAAGGACATATATCTAGAATTTACAGATGTTCTTAAGAATAAAAAATATTTAATATAAAACAAAAAAGGAAAAAACTTAATTTTATGAGAAAAATATAAACTTATAAACAGGTAATCCATTTCTGGCAATAAATGGGCTTTCATTTCTATGGTTCTATATTGTTAATTCTAATGTTATAGAAACTTAATGTTTTGTGTCAACCATTTGAATGTAAATAGCAACAACAACAACTTAAAAATCTCTAGGCACTCTTCAAAATGTAAATAATTTTTTTCAAATTGACTTAACTGTATTTTCAGGCTTATTAGTAATGTGTTAAAGAAAATTATTATTTTACTTGCTCTTTGCAACATTACTTTTTTTAATATAAAATAAAAAAACTATTCAGTGGATGTTTACAAAACAAAACAAGTTTAGAAATTATGGAGTCAGTTACAATTGTGATTTAAAAGAGTAACTATAGAACCAAGTTTATACAGCTATTATTTATTTTAGACAATTATCTTAAATTAAAAGTTTAATTTCTGATTCAATTTATTTTAATCCTTGGTAAATAACAGTAGAAGACTGTAGTCTTATAATGGGATGTACTAATGTAGTTAATGTTTGGTGTGAAAGCAGAAACCCCAGGGAAAAGGTGATGGGTTAAGATATTATTTTTCTGATTCCATTTGGACAAAATTAATTTAAAAGATAATTAAAGTTATGTAGATCTATAATTTAATTATATAGTAAAATACTTTCTAGGGGCATAGCCATTAAATATTAAATAGGTTTTAAACAAGAAATCTGAAGACGCTTTCACTGATGAGTTTTAAAGTAGACTGTACTTCCATCTATGAAGACTCATATAACATCTGATTTTTTCCCCCATTCTGGGTATCTATGAAAATATGATAGTAATTTTTATTCTAAATTTCTAATGTTGTCAAGACACAGAATTTAGTCAGTATCCTGTCTTAAACACACAAACAAATTGAGAGGATTTTAGAAAGAAGAAATACATTTATTAGGATCAGAATAACTTAATCATGAAGAACTATATATATATTTTAATCTAAAGTTTTATATAATTAAGAAGTAGTATAATAATCACTTTAAAAATAAAGTAGCAAATGTACTAAAGACAAACATATAGGGAGAAAAGGAATATTTATCTAGAAAGAAAGAAGGCAAAACTAGAATATTAAAGTCACAGAGGTATTTCTTATTATCAAGGTCTTTCCGTTTGCAAAACCTTGTGGATTCTGAAAGATTTGAGACAGTGGAATTGGTAGACAAAAGAGATCAATGGGCTCATCTGAGATCGCATCTATACAATGGTGTCTCCTAAGGAATCCCACATAGTTCACGTGCTTATGCATAAGGAAGCAAACGGAAGATTACCTGGAAATCTTCGAACTATTTGACATAATCCTTCCTTTCTGCAAAGCTGATGTTGTATTTCTGGTAATATGTTTACCTAAAAGGAATGAAAATGATTCTAGTGAGTTGGGCATTCATAAATGCTAAAGCAAAGTAAACACAAAAACTTGGAGCATATACAGATGGGAAGGTCTGTCCACATCATCCACACCCTACCCTCAAATAACTGCAAGTCAACATTCAGATCCAGAATAATAAGGTGGTTTATTTGATAATATAAAATTAAAACCTTACCCTTAGAAAACTTCAAACTATTTGGGAATACTTTTGAAAACCTGAATATATATAAAAGCCATGATATTTGCTAAAAATACAAGAAAATACTATGTCCTTATGGTGAAGAGAATAACACAAATAACTTCATAGTTTCAACTTTAGTTTTGGCAAAAAATAGTACTAAACATACATACCTCAAAGTCATCTAAAGTCCAAAGTTCCAAAGGCCCCCAGTGATTTGAATCACAGACATTGAGTGGAAATTCAGTGGTAAACCTGTTTTAAAACTTCATAGATAGCGAAAAATTAAACTGCCATTTGACCCAGGGATCCCACTTCTAGGAATATACCCTAAGAAGCCTGAAACACCAATCAGAAAGAATAGATGCACCCTTATATTCACAGCAGCACTATTTATAATCACTAAGATCTGGAAACAGCCCAAGTGTCCATCAATAGATGAGGGGATAAAAGAGCTGTGGTACATATGCACAATGGACTACTATGCAACTGTATATCCTTTGAGATGACATGGAGGGACCTGGAAAGCATTGTGCTAAGCAAAATAAGCCAGTCAGAGAAAGACAAGTATCACATAATCTCACTTATTTGTGAAATATAATGAACAAAATAGACCCAGAGACATAGTAGTAGGGTTCAGAATGACAAACCTCAGAGGAAGTGGTGGTGGGGGGGGGGGGTAAAGAGAAGAAATAAACCAAAGAACTTAGGCATATAAGCATAACCAATGGACACAGACAACAATACTGTGGGGAGGGGGTATCGGGAGGAGGGTGTTAATGGGGGGGGGAAGGAGAAACATCAGTAACAAAAATAAATTAATTAAAAATAATAATAATAAATAAATAAATAAAAAGTGCTAAGACTGAAAAAAAAAAAAAAGCCTCATAGATGGTTTTCACTTCATACCGAAGGGCATTAATGCTTCCAAATATAAAGCCCAAGTATCATAAAATTCTATTTTAACAAAAATGTGTTCTTAAAAAGCTTTATAAGAGGATGGGAGTAGGGAGAGATAAACCAAAGATCTTATATGCATATGTGCATAATCAATGGACACAGAAAATCGTGTGGGGAAGGCAGGAGCAGGGAGCAAGCAAGGAAGAGGGGGTCAGTGAGGGAATATAGGACAACATCTGTAATACATTCAACAATAAAGATAAAAAGCTTCCTAAATGTTATCATAAATTCACATATATACTTTAACTTGTAAAGATACAAACAAGCTAATTCTGTCATCTTCTGAATTTACAGATTTGTTAACTAGCTATTATCAACTAAATCTCAAAAATAATTCCAAATATGGTAAAGCCTTTTTAAAACCAATAGAAAGAGAACAATGTAAATTAGCTTTAATATCAGATTCATTTTTTCCATCTTTTTAAATTATTTTTTTTTATTTTTAATTACAATTGACATACATCATTACATCAGATTCATTTTTGAACAATTATTGATTATTCTCAAATTAATTCACTCTAAACTAATAAAATACTCTAGTTCTCTACTGTGTCCCACTGGCATGATTAGATTAAAAAACAAACAAACAAAAAAAAAACTCAATTGCAATTGGAGAAAAGTGAAGGAACCAAGAACACGGTTGTAGTCCTTCTTCTCCCACTCAAGAATAGTACCCTTGAGCCATCACTGGGCTTCTCTTTCTCACTTTCTCCATTTGTAAAATAAAGCAGTTAGAGCCTTTGGTCTTTAAGATCTACTTCTGCTCTTAGATTTTATCAATTCAATAATTGAATCATAGTTGTAGTTTTTTTAAATGGTTCATTTACAGCACTTTGACACAGTGCATCAATTAAATATTCTCCAACTGCAGCAATCCTGTTAACTCTTCTTCATTTACTCAGTAAGGAGTAAACTTCAGGCCAGATCATATGTGAATGAAGCTCAGACCTCAGCAGAACTCCCTGTGAATCAACAACGTTCCTAAACACTCCACTTGAAATTCTACAGCAATACCAAAGTCTGAGCCTCCTACGTACGCTCTTACTGCACAGGGAAATGAGAAAAGGCTGTAAGTACAATGCGTGATAGATTTTAGAGATGTCTCCATTTCTCAAATTTGAAAGTAAGATGTCTCAGAGACTAACTGTAGAAAAAGAAGGGTTTTCATAAAGTCCTGAAGTTTTACATTCGGAATTCCTAAGACAGGCTGGAGGTCAGGGACAGAGCACTGCAAAAATATGGGAAACTCATACCAAAGGTTTGAGGGTTTTTTTTTTCTTAAATTAACATACAAAGCAGCTTTCAGATGCAAAATGCTTCCAAAGCCAATACCCTTAAAATATTTCCCCCACAGCAGACAAAATGACTCAGTTGCTATTGACTAAATAGAATATTTAACAATAGAAGGACCCAGAAAGAGAAACAGCATTAAGTAAGTAATATTAAAGACTATATACTGACACAAGCCCAGTTTAAAATCTTATCCCATTTCTTGAAGGTCTCAGAGCAAATATGCTGTCATTTCAAATGCTTAAAGCATCCCAGGTCCCATAGTCTGCTACAAACTGAAAGGAACAGAAGAGTCTTGGTAACATGGATCACAAACGTGGGCCAGGAAAAGCTGTGTAGATGCTGCGAAGACAGTGCACAGCGTGCACAGGCTTCACGTGGAAGGGTCCTTTGCTGTGGCTCATCATAGAGATGACTTTTCATTTGACACCTTGGATCAGAAGGATGAACTGACTCAGGGTGAACAAAGCACTTGTTTCAAAAAATCAGAGCCAAGCCAAGGGAAGCAACTATTCTCCCCCTCTCCGCCTCTGATTTTCCCATTCCCGTACCCAGTGACCTCTTCCCATGCTTTCCCCCAAAGTATATCTTTGGAATTCACAGAGTCACAGCAGATGACATAACCATGGTGACACATGACACCAGAAATATCATCTCCATTTTACCGTGGAACTGAGCACCAAACTGAGCGCAAAGAAATAGACACGTGCAAGGGCTACGAGTCACACCGCTATGGCAAATCGGCTATATTACACATATTTTAAATTTTTAATTGTTAAACCTAATAATGCTCTTCTGTATCCTAGTGCTTTTCATTATTACTTTTATGTACATCATAAAATTTATAAGATTTGCAGCATTATCAAGTGGAACATCATCAAAGAAGTTTCTAGTTGGTTTAGCTAACTTTTATATGATGAGCTTTTCCAGCTTCCCATTGCAATAAATATTTATTCCCATTGCAATAAATATTTTTTATCAGGCTTTATTTTGAGGAGTAGTTGAGGTTCACAACAACAATGAGCAGAAGGTACAGAGATTTCCCATACACCTACCCATTACCCCTCCCCCCTACACATGCACAGCCTCCCCCATTATCAACATCCCCCACCGGATTGGTGATTTTGTTACAGTTAGTGAAGCTACACTGACACATCATACTCCCCCTAATTGTAATACCCTTTTTGTATTGGGTTTACATGTTTTACAAGAGAGAGAGAGAGAGAGAGTGTGTGTGTGTGTGTGTGTGTGTGTGTGTGTTATAGACAGCTGTTCTGATGTTTTTCTTGGCATAAAATTTTTCTTATCTTTGAAAGGATTAGAATGAATATAAAAATAATAATGACATTGTAGCCTGGGATATTTCTGAGATCAAACTGGCAGAAAGGAAATGCGCAATTAAAAAGACTTCAATTCCTCCTGGCTGGGGTGGCTCAGTGGTTGAGCATCTATTCCTGCACCAAGAGGTCCCAGTTTGATTTCCAGTCAGGACACATGCCCAGGTTGTAGGCCCAATCCCCAGTGGAGGGCATGCAGGAGGTGGCCATTGTTCTCTCTCATGGATGTTTCTATCTCGCTCTCCCTCACCCTTCCTCTTTCTCTAAAATCAATAAAGAAAAAAAATTTTAATTAAAAAAATTAATAAAATAAAAAGATTTCAGCCCAATGTACCTCTACAATTCTAATCAATGATAATCTGCATCTAAATTATTTTTATTACATATTGTCAGAATTAAAAGTAAAAAAATCATTATTTTGAGATATTTAATTATTAAGAGCAACAGTATAATATTAATTATAGATCAAGTTGAAGATGGCTGAAGCCTAAGGAAGTTCCATCCACTTGTTGCTAGCACAGGACCAGATTTGAGCCTAAACTGCAGAACATTCCACTTAAAAAAACCACCTGAAAATAGCTGATCGGAAAGACTGTGAGCGGGGAGCGTGGCGTAAGGACAAGAGAAGACGCGAAGTGGGTGATCGAACACACACAGCTGCCCAGCATGGCTGGGAAGACAGAGAGAGGGTGCGGCCATGCAGCTCTGGTCCCCTGAGAGCAGGGGGACTCAGCCCCACACAGTAATGTCCAAATGAAAACAACAGAGAAGGGAAGGGGAGCCTACATAGCATGGGAGAGTGGGAATCCTCGGTGATTCGGCCCACTGGGGGAACTCTGCACTATCCCAGGCTAAAAATGAGTGTGCAGTTATAAGACCAGCCTGATTGCAGGCACTGGAGAGACCACAAAGCAGAGCAGCAAACCTGTGGAGGGATCTGAGTGGACCACACAGCATGATTCTGAGGGGCCAAGTATTCACTGAAAGAACTTTGATGGGGGCTAGTCAGAGTGACCAGGGAAAGAGATGTGTGCCTCCCCACCTCAAGCGAAGAGGATGTGTGTCTTCCCCCACCTGTGGAACAGCTCTGGGCTGGAAATCAGCACCCCAGTAGCAGGTCCTGGTAGTGCTGGGGATTTGGCCATCTGGCCAGAAGCCCCGCCCAGTGAGAGGTGACTGTGCTGAACCATTAAAAGAGTCAAGCAGAGTGGGT